GCTTCCCTGCAGTTCCTCTGTCCACATGAACCCCGTTCAGGTAGTTCCTCATTCCTGTGTATCCCCTTTCTTGTAGTTTGGCTTCATTTGTCCTGGCCTTCCTGCTTCTCCCTCCACTTGTAGCTCTACTATGTATTCGAAGCTTAAAACCACATGGTCACTGGCCCCAAGGGGTCTTTCATATGTGATGTCCTCGATATCTGCACTACTCAAGGTGAATACTAAGTCCAGCCTTGCTGGTTTATCCTCTCCTCTCTCTCTTGTAGTGTCCACTTACGTGTTGGCACATGAAGTTTTCCAGTACCACCTCCATCATCTTAGCCCTCCATGTATCTTGGCCCCCGTGCGGGTCCAAGTTCTCCCAATCGATCTCCTTGTGGTTAAAGTCACCCATGATCAGGAGCTTTGCCCTGCATGCATGAGCTCTTCTGGCCACTCTAGCCAGTGTGTCAACCATCGCTCTATTGCTCTCGTCGTACTCTTGCCTTGGCCTCCTGCTGTTCTGTGGTGGGTTATACATCACTGCTATTACCACCTTGGGACCTCCAGAGTGAAGTGTTCCCGCTATGTAATCACTTTCTTCTCCGCTGTCTCCTCTCTCCAGCTCATCAAAATTCCAGTGATTTTTGATCAGCAATGCCACTCCTCCACCCCCCCCCTGTTCCCTCTGTCTTTCCTCAGGATTTGGTATCCCGTTGGAAAGATGGCATCTGTTATCATGTGTGTGTGTGTGTGTGTGTGTGTGTGTGTGTGTGTGTGTGTGTGTCTGTGAGTGTGCACGTTTTTTTTTTTTTTTTGTGTGTGTGTGTGTGTGTATGTATGTGTGTGCGTGTGTGTGTACTCACCTAGTTGTACTCACCTAGTTGAGGTTGCGGGGGTCGAGTCCGAGCTCCTGGCCCCGCCTCTTCACTGATCGCTACTAGGTCATTCTCCCTGAGCCGTGAGCTTTATCATACCTCTGCTTAAAGCTATGTATGGATCCTGCCTCCACTACATCGCTTCCCAAACTATTCCACTTACTGACTACTCTGTGGCTGAAGAAATACTTCCTAACATCCCTGTGATTCATCTGTGTCTTCAGCTTCCAACTGTGTCCCCTTGTTACTGTGTCCCCTTGTTACTGTGTCCAATCTCTGGAACATCCTGTCTTTGTCCACCTTGTCAATTCCTCTCAGTATTTTGTATGTCGTTATCATGTCCCCCCTATCTCTCCTGTCCTCCAGTGTCGTCAGGTTGATTTCCCTTAACCTCTCCTCGTAGGACATACCTCTTAGCTCTGGGACTAGTCTTGTTGCAAACCTTTGCACTTTCTCTAGTTTCTTTACGTGCTTGGCTAGGTGTGGGTTCCAAACTGGTGCCGCATACTCCAATATGGGCCTAACGTGTGTGTGTGTGTGTGTGTGTGTGTGTGTGTGTGTGTGTGTGTGTGTGTGTTTTATTAAATCATTGCTCATATTGTCCAGTTGTTAGTGTTATCCTGTTACATAACAGCTGCATTAAGTTTACACCACCTTCTCATGAGGTTTACACCACCTTCTCATGAGGTTTACACCACCTTCTCATGAGGTTTACACCACCTTCTCATGAAGTTTACACCACCTTCTCATGAAGTTTACACCACCTTCTCATGAGGTTTACACCACCTTCTCATGAGGTTTACACCACCTTCTCATGAAGTTTACACCACCTTCTCATGAAGTTTACACCACCTTCTCATGAGATTTACACCACCTTCTCATGAAGTTTACACCACCTTCTCATGAGGTTTACACCACCTTCTCATGAGGTTTACACCACCTTCTCATGAGGTTTACACCACCTTCTCATGAGGTTTACACCACCTTCTCATGAGGTTTACACCACCTTCTCATGAGGTTTACACCACCTTCTCATGAGGTTTACACCACCTTCTCATGAGGTTTACACCACCTTCTCATGAGGTTTACACCACCTTCTCATGAGGTTTACACCACCTTCTCATGAGGTTTACACGACCTTCTCATGAAGTTTACACCACCTTCTCATGAAGTTTACACCACCTTCTCATGAGGTTTACACCACCTTCTCATGAGGTTTACACCACCTTCTCATGAGGTTTACACCACCTTCTCATGAGGTTTACACCACCTTCTCATGAGTTCCATTCACACTGCTCGGCTTCATTTGTGAAGATATTTTCTGGCACTGCAGTAATATATTTTTGGAAATTTTTCTTCCTCAACTCTCACTTCTTGTCTCATACTACTTGAAAATGTTATGAAAATTGTTTGTAATATTTTATGTCTCATATGTGAGTATAATGTTTCTTATCTTCCTTTATGTGTCATATGTGAGTATAATGTTTCTTCTTATCTTCCTTTATGTGTCATATGTGAGTATAATGTTTCTTCTTATCCTCCTTTATGTCTCATATGTGAGTATTATGTTTCTTCTTATCCTCCTTTATGTCTCATATGTGAGTATTATGTTTCTTCTTATCCTCCTTTATGTCTCATATGTGAGTATTATGTTTCTTATCCTCCTTTATGTCTCATATGTGAGTATAATGTTTCTTATCCTCCTTTATGTCTCATATGTGAGTATCATGTTTCTTATCCTCCTTTATGTCTCATATGTGAGTATAATGTTTCTTATCCTCCTTTATGTCTCATATGTGACTATTATGTTTCTTCTTATCCTCATTTCAGCAACACAGATCATTTATAGAGTTTTGAGTATTTTTCAGAAACTTATTTTTTTTTCTCTGAAAGTCATTTTGCAGTTTGTCTTTGTATTTTATCTAATTCATGTTTATTGGTGTGTATATGTAGTTACCTGTTTGTAGCGTTATTGTTTTTTTATGGTTTGTAGTAGCTGTTGAACTTATTACTTCTCTAGTTCAACTAGTCTGAATCAGCTGTTACTCTCTAAGATTATATTAATGTCGTCTTGTTTTGCCTGTCGAAGGGGTAAAGATTGTCTTCTTTATCGTTTCCAATTCTTTCATAAACTTGAATGTAATTATCTTAACCTTCTCTTTCTTTTCTCCTATTTTCCAAAGATTGCTTATCTGACACTTTCTTCCACGCATTTCATATTTTTTTAGATGCTTGATGCATATCTTACCACTTTTTTCTAATCTTCTCTAACCTTATCTTTTCTAACATGGCTGAATATTTCAGTTTGTGTTTAGCATATGTTGTTAAATTCTTTTTCATAATTTCCTCATCCACATCTCTAAATGATATTTCAAAGTTGATTTGTATCACAAGGGAATTTCTTACTCTTTCATTTATGTGTATTTTAGGTCATAATATTTTGTCAGTGATGAATCCCAGGTTCATTTCTTTGCTTACTTTCTATATTATCACTCAAATTTTATTCTATATGTAACGTGTTTTCCATTTGTACGCCATCTACTACATTTCACTTATCTTTATATGTCTCCACTTAGCTCCTGATTCATTTTGGAAATTTATTAAACAAACAGAAACATTAAGGAAACAAACATTGAACCTTGTGGAACACTAGTAACTTTACAACTCCAAAAAAATTACCTTCTGTCATAAGTATTTCCTTTTAACAACACGAAATCTCTCGTCCAGTACAAAGTGAGAGATATATGTCTTCTAGATTTTGCTGTTTCTCATTATTCATTCGTGAGGCATATACTGAGAAACTTCTATAAAATCTGAATAAATGCCATCTGTATATCCGATGTGCACGAGTACATGAATAACGATCCTGCATGTTTCCACATGCAGGATCGTGACGATCGAAAACAAAAAACACTTAGTAACACTATATGTTCGCCGTTCCAGCCTTGGAGGTTAACCAGGTTTTCCTTCATAGCTGAAATCCCTGATTACATTTTTGTTTTTCCATTTTTAGCTTTTCGTTGGTAGTTCTCTTAACATGTTCTACCCTCATTTACCTTGTCAAATTCTTCTCTCATACATGTAATGTTAAGCTCTCTAATGTACATGTACAAAAATATAAATAGATGGGTGACTCTTGTTAACCCTACACCGTCTAGTGGTTACAACACTTGCCTTGTAGATTTAGGACTGGATTACCAGAGGTTCAAGTCTTGTCCATTTATTATGCAATCATCTTATTACGATTTATTTTGAATTATAATTTCAGTAGCCTGTAATTATTTTTTTACACAAACATTATGAATGACTTGATTCCTACTTTATCCTCTACCACAAACGTTTTTTTTTATTTTTTTTTTCACTTCTCTAATTAGTTGTTAAGATGTTTATTTTCTTTTGATTTTATCCTTCCTCAAAGTTATCAGGTACAAGTGCTTCCTTCCTCTTTCCTCACTTCTTAACTATAAATTATTCCTTATGCATAACCTGAAAGAAAGTTGGGATTAGTCTGTTGTATCTGAGAGAATGTTTGATAGATTAGGAACTGTTTATATGCTGAGTGATCAAAGTAGGTTTCGTACCACTCATCATTCGTCAATATCTTTGTCCTATAAAATGACCTTTTACGTTGAAACTCTCTCGACATTTTCTAATTGTGTTGATACGATTTTTCTGTGTATCTAACCCAGAAATTATTTTTTTTTTCAGTGCAGCCCCCAAAAATTACAGTTTGTTTCAATCTGCAGCTCTGTCAAGAAATCTGGTTTGTTTTCAATTGTTCTTTAAATCTCCTTGCTTGTAACAACTGAGGTATCCTTTCTCATATCTCATTATCTTATTTTTCTCTCTCTCGCTTTCTTTTACTAAACTTAAGCTTTCCTCAGTGCTGAAACTCTTAGAAAGTTTTTACGCTCTCTAAGAACTTGTATTGCTCTACACTACTTCGTTTTCTCAGTTATTTCCTATAAATTAATAAGATAGGCAGGCATTAGATAGGATATTTCTGTCACAAACACCATTAGCAAGAACAAATAGCTTCATCCATAAATTATCCAAAGTTCCAAGACTAATATATACGACAACACACATTAACACCTACCACCAACCAACATTGCTCATTACAGAAATATCACAATTCCTTACCACTGATGTAATCAGAATACGACTGATCACACTGCTCGGGACCCTCCCTGGGTTTCCTTTCATCTGCAGCATCACAGTGAAGGGAGACATGAATCTTAGGGATTGGGAGAGAATTGCTTCGTCGTCTTGGAGGAACATTATGTCCAGTCTCCTCGCCAATGTCCTGAAGTCTGTTACCCCACATGTTTGATCAGTAGTTGATCACGAATACGAGGTGCAAATGGAAGGAAATATTAGAGTATTATTAGTACTTTAGCTGTACTTAAAACTTATGACTGTATATTCATTATTTCACTGCACAGTATTCTGATGCTCAATTAATTTTAACTGTGAACTGACATTTTATCACACATATAAACAGTTCGGATTTTGTCAAGATTTGGAAATTTCATGCAAAATATAATTTATATATAAATGCAATAAATAAGTTGTGATTCTAACCCAATACTAATTCATCATCTGGAACGTGCAATAAATTGTTTTAAAATTGCAAAAAAAAAGTAAATCAATACATTTAAAAAAAGATAACACTACCCTACTAGTGATGAGATGCAAACTGAAGGTGAGTTACCACCAACTATCATAGGTATAACCAGACTCAGCCAGGGATAATAACTCATAGTAAACTAACACAATTACACTGTAAAGAGATGCTCAAGTTTCCGGACAATCGAGTGATGTTGTACAAGTATAAAGCAAAATATTCTCTAATCATTAAATGTTTGCACAAGGAAAATCCACTGACTATAGTCAGTGGATTTACAGTACTAAAACTAAAGAAAATCTCTTGCATAGGATATCTGAGAGGAAGATTTGATAGAACTAACTGATACACTATGTGACGTATTTTGGTACACAAATAATGTTTTCATTTTAGAGAGGCAATTCTGCATAAATGCTCACAACACATGTATCACATTTCCGCAGTTTGAACAAAATAAAGTACAATGAATGGTCGTGTTTCAGACATTCTAACAATGCACCAAACACTGCTAAAGTTGATCACACATTATGAGCTTCAGTACAACACTGGAAGCATAATCTACCTGCCAATAATGTGAAACATTCAGTCAAGTATGAAGAATTCATATTCATTTCCATACAGGCACCAGCTTCCATGTCAGGGCATGGTTTTTCTCTTTTTCTTCAAACAAGGACACCTATGCATAATAGGAGGATGCAGATGCCAAAATGAGAAGAGAACCTACTTCAGCATTTATTAAACTGAATGGAATCTAATCTTGAGATTTGCAGAGAATTGCAAAACTACACGAAATAAAATCATTGAATGCCAGTGTCATATTTACCTACAACTGACAGGAGAGTTCCAGCTGGGATACAACAGCGTTGGTCCCTCACTGAGTCATTACATCAGTAAAACTCACATCAGTAAACAATTCTTAGACAAAAATAACATCACAACGACCTGCAGCGCTCTGTTAATCATTATAATTGAGTTTCAGATGAACTTTAGCAAGCAAAATTTCAAGGTATGGTAGACAATGGTATAAAATACTAACAAGATGAGAAAAAGACTTCACCTGTAGCTTGATTAAGTTCACTAGGCGCGCCAAAACTGCTAATTGCTTCTAAAAAACTGTATTTGCTTTTATTTCATATCAAAGTGATAGTGACATAGTTCTTTGTGATTCTAAAGAAGAATATATATATATATATATATATATTATATATATATATATATATATATATATATATATATATATATATATATATATATATATATATATATATATGCAAAACAACCACTGTGAAAGGATAACTAAATTCCAAGCACTTTCGTGATATTTCACATTATCAAGGAACTATAAAGGCAATCCATCAAAGGAAGGCATATAAAGGGCCGAGGTCACACCCTTTATTATTAAACTTTGCATTGTTCGTGCAAAATTTGTATTTAATGATAAGTTTTATACTCAGAACTTTGGTATGGCAATGGGAAATCCTCTTTCACCTCTTCTTAGCCACCTATACATGGGATTTTTTGAAACAAGACTGCTTAACACAATCCTCCCTAATACAGCTAAACGGTTAAGATATGTTGGTGATATTTTGTGTCTTATGCCTAAAAATATGGATATAAGCCATTTTCTTGTTAAAATTAAATAGCTTAGCCCATTCTATAAACTTTACTGTTGAATTTGAGGAAAATAACTCACTGCCTTTTCTAGATGTTTTAATTATTAAGGGTAATAATGAATTCAAATTTAAAATGTACAGAAAACCTACAAATAATTGTTCTTACGTACACTATTATTCTTCACATCTGTTTTCTAATCAATGTTTTGGAGAGCATTGCGTATTTGTAGTCCAGAGTACATAGATGAAGAAATATCCAAAATTTATTAAATAGCTAATGATCTGAAATACCCAAGAAACGTAATTGATAAATCTTTTAAAATTGTTAGTAATACTTTTTACAATCCAAAAAGTGACAACCAACCTTATTCAACTAAAAATATGTTGGTTCTCCCTTACCATGAAAACTTGGTTGATATGCCTTCGCTTCTAAAGACTTTTAATATCAAAGTTGCATTTAAAAATCTTGATATAGTAAAAAAAAACTTTTGATTAAGATTTCCCCCAAAATGCTGACGGATGTGTCTATAAAATTCTTTGTAAAATTTGCGATAAAGTTTATTACGGTCAAACTGGTGAAAGTCTCGAACTAAGATTAAAACAATATAAATATAGCATTAGAATTGGACAAGATTCCAATCCTCTATTTATTCATGTGAGAGATTTTAACCGTCCAATTGGTTTTCAAAAAGTTGAGTAAGTTGTATCAAGCAAGTCCATGGTCGACAGGAATATAATTGAATCTTGTTTCATAAAAAAGTAGTTTTGAAAATATCAATATTTCCTGGGGATCTGTAACAAGTGACGTTCCACTGGGGACGCTGGGGCCTTGTTGTTTATAATATATATCAATGACCTTGATGAGGGAATTACTAGTGATATGAGCAAATTCGCCGATGACACAAAGATAGGTAGGATAATTGATTCAAACTTAGATGTCACGGAACTTCAGGAGGATTTAGGCAAACTCAGCTCCTGGTCAGAAAAGTGGCAGATGCAGTTCATTGTACATAAATGCAAGGTTTTGAAGCTCGGGAGTGTCCATAACCCTTGTACTTATCAGTTAAATAAAGTAGAACTTAGCCACACAGACTGCGAAAAGGATTTGGGGGTTATGGCAAGCAGCAACTTTAAACCAAGACAGGAATGCCTAAGCGTACGTAACAAAGCAAACAGAGTACTGGGATTTATATCAAGAAGTGTAAGCAACAGAAGTCCAGCAGTTATTTTACAGCTTTATACATCATTAGTAAGGCCTCACCTAGATTATGCAGCTCAGTTCTGGTCTCCATATTACAGAATGGACATAAATTCGCTAGAAAACATCTAGCGTAAAATGACCAAATTAATACATAGCATTAGAAATCTTCCGTTCGAAGAACGATTAAAGACTCTTAAACTACATTCACTTGTTAAACGAAGAATGAGGGGAGACATGATCGAAGTGTATAAGTGGAAGATGAGTATTAACAAAGGGGATATAAGTAAGGTTTTGAGGATATTTCATCAAGAAAGAACTCGCAATAATGGATTCAAATTGGATTAGTTTAGATTTCGAAAAGGATATATGAAAGTATTGGTTAGGAACAGTCTGCCTAGTAGGGTTATTGAAGCTGAAACGCTGGGTAGTTTCAAATTTAGATTAGATAAATACATGAGTGAGAGGGGTTAGATTTGAGTGAAACTTGCGTAGCATTGAAAATTGGGTTGGACAAATATTTTGTTAGTGGGAAGGATTGTAAAGGACTTGCCTAGATTGGGCTAACAGGCCTGCTGCTTTCTTATGTTCTTATATTCTTATAAAAAAATTTGGGAACAATTTAATAATACGTTGGACAAATAATAAATCTTAATTCTTGGGTAGAGTACTTGGGTTGGACAAATATTTTGTTACTGGGATGTCGTGAAGGACCTGTTTAGTTGGGCCAGCGTGCCTACTGCGGTGTTTCTTCTTTCTTATGAGTTGGGTGTCGTCGCACGTCAGGTGTTGCTTTGTTGTGGGCTGTGATGGTGAAGTGTGGTTTCGACCCTTTCTTTGATGTATTGCCTTTATAGTTCTTTGATAATGTGAAAAGTCACGAAAGCGCTTGGAATTTCACTATCCTTTGACAGTAGTTGTTTTTCATATTCTGATATCACCTGTTTACTGTGATCTTATTGCATTTATATATATATATATATATATATATATATATATATATATATATATATATATATATATATATATATATATATATATATATATATATATATATATATATATATATATATATATATATATATATATATATATATAACTATTCTTTGTCAATGAAATATGTGATATATTTGAATAAAAAGAAAATGAACTTGACACAATGCATAAACTCATTAGCTAAAAAAAATAGCTAAGAGGATATAATTCCAACAATGTATTAAGACTATTGGTATTATAAATAACAATACAACATCAAGTGAGAACCAAGAGCTTTTCTATACCAGGACATTGATGACTTTGAGGAATAATTTATAGAAAAATTCCTTTGATTTGTATTAAAATACGTTGAAATAGATCATTTCTCAAAAAGATTCCAACAGCTCACAATAAAACACCAAAAAAATGAAGACAACTGTGAGAACAAGTGACTCTAGTTATATACCAAGGAGGAATAAATGCTGAATGAATCCCAGAAAAAAGTATTCACTGAGAGGTTGAAAACTGGAATATATTACGACAGGATATACTAACTAGAAATATTAAGCAAGTAAGCAAGATATTCTAGGTAAGACCCCAGCGGGGAAGACTGGATAGACGAAGACTAGATCTTGAGAGGAGTGTCTTTAACCCAGCAGCAGAGCTGTGCGTGAAGGAGTGTGTGGGAAGGAGCTTGAGAGTCAGGATACGCAGGCAAGCTTGATTGATGACTTGGGAGCACTGCTGTGTGCAATCTCATCAGCGTGGTGTTGCCTAACTTGTCATTGGTGGAGACTGGCGAGAGGCGTGCTGGAGGCGGCGACTAATGATGACGTGACTTATGTGCGATCGTCCCAGGTAGTGTAGGAGCCGTTGGTAATTCTTCTATATGCTGATTTT